GCGTTGGTTGTCATCATGACTTGGCAGCAACATAGAACTCCCTGTAACCCCCAGTACTCAATTCTTCTCTTTCTGTTTATAGGTGGAGGACATAATAAACCCCCAATTTGTGGCAGAAATCCTATCTTCCAAGCCAGAGATGGATATACTGTCTCTAATGAAGGAGCTAGAGTACGAGGAAGAATTCAGTTTTGAGCAGATAGTAAGTGAAGGGTGAACACCAGGGACAACAAAAAAGAAGTGATGGGTAGGCAAGAGGCAAGCAGACACGAGGCAGACTGGATACAGGTAGACATTAGGCAAACTGGGTGGGGCAAGGAGGACCCCAAATAGAGTGGGGTGCTGAGGGATGCCATGTGGACAGGGAAAGGAGAGGATCCTGCTCATAAGAACCATGTGACCTATAGGAAATCAAAGCATATTTCTTGTGGTGCCTGGGGCTTCACCCAGAATGGGATGCAGGTATGGACATGAGGAGGGGGTGAAGTGCAAAGCAGCAAGAAACCAGGTAAGTCAGCCAGCAGACCCTGGGTCTCTGACACTAAGAGATAGTTGACGATCCCCTTAGGTACCTCTACCCAAATATTTTGCCCCCTGAGCCTTCCAGCCTGGGATGAGTCTTATATGCAGCTGGTGGAAGAGCACTGCCTGGCTTTGAAGAAGAAAGGCTGTAAGAGGGCACCTCTGAACCCTGGTGACCCTCAGATACTTTCCAATGCTTCTGTACCAACTGTCTGTCAAGGTGCAAAGAGAGAAAGCCATAGTACCCAAAGAGGGACCAGTGAACAAAAAAGTTCCTCACCGGTGACTTCTTTAGATCATCAGTGTCCTGGAGCTACCAATGCCGAAATATGGGTGCCTAGGCCTAATGTCTTCCCAAGTAGTCAGTGTTTACTCTCACTGGGAGACACCGGGTCCACTGTTATTCCCTATGGCAGAGGAGCCCATCCACAAATCCCAGGGTCCAGATGTGCAATGAGCTTCAGAGGAGTTTGTGCTATGGAGGAGTTCCAGGAGGCACTGGGCAGAACCATTGAGGACAAAGAGAGCTCCCCAGCTTGTCCTTCCTCCTGTGTTCCCACTACATGCTGGTGCGTTGGAAACTGTCTGGCTATTTGTGCCCCTATACAGGTCTCTCTGACTCTGATAGTATCCCTAAAACCTTATCTCCAAAGATGAGGGACCTCAGTCCTGATACATCTTCAAATGACAAGTCAGAGCAGCCAGCTATCATTGGAGGCTTGAATCCTATGGCTAAGAGGTCCAACTCAGGGCTTGGTCATGGGATATTTGAAGGGTCACTCTCAGCCCTGGGGCTTGCTCACTCTTCGCAGGCACAGAAGAAGTTTGAATCACTAAGCACCCGGAAGAGGAAGTGGAAGAAGTGGCACTGTGCCACCTGTGGGATATCCCCTCAAAGCAGGCAGAGTTTAACTCTATCTCCACCCTGCACCCTCATACCAAAAATGAAAAAGAAAACACACTGAGCTCCTGCTTACTCAGGGCTGATCCAGGTGGTGCTAAGTAGTAGAAGGCTAGAGGCACTGAGAAATAAATCCAGGGATGAGGGGTGGGGCAAGGAGTCAGACGGTATTATCAATTTAGATGTTTGTAAGATTCAGTGAATAAATGCAGCTCTGTGGACCATTACCCAGCTTCTACAATTAGCCTTGCAACTGCATTTTTCTGCAATTACTCAGGGAGCAGTTTCTGCTCCCCTACAGACATGGGTGGCAAAAGTTTTGGTGAAAATGTTGTAAGGGACATGTCTTAAGGTTTCTATTGCTGTGAATAGATACCATGACCACAGCAACTCTTGTAAAGGAAAACAATTATTTGGCTTGCCTACAGTTCAGAGGTTTAAGCCATTATCATCATGGCAGAATGCAGGCAGACATGGTTTTGGAGAAGGAACTGAGAGTTTACATCTTGATCTACACAGAACAGGAAGGGAAATGTTGAACTGGGCTTGGCATGAGTATATATGAGACCTCAAAGCCCACTTCCACAGTGACACACTTTCTCCAACAAGGCCATATGTCCTGAGAGTGTCCCTTCCTTTGGACTACATTTTCTTTCAATCGACCACAGGCTGCTACTTACATTCTGATGTCTGAACTGCTACATGGAGTGAAGAGATAGTGAGGGAAAACATGGAGATGCTGCACTCTAGGGTGCATAGGTTCAGACCCAGGTCTTTCTCTAGATTTACCCTCTGACCCTGGGAGAATGCAGCAGACTGAGAGCCCCCAGAATCACAGCCCTTGCCCTCTCACAAAGCCTCACTGCATACAGGGACTACTTGGAACACATTATTATTATTATCTGTTTCCTCAAAAACCTTCACAGCCTGCAGCTCTGTGGACCATTACCCAGCTTCTAGAATTAGCCTTGCAAATGCATTTTTCTGCAATAACTCAGGGAGCAGTTTCTGCTCCCCTACAGACATGGGTGGCAAGACTAATCCAGTCCTCAGCAAGCCAGGGACATCTTGAGTATGTGGGTGGCACTAGGAAAAGTCCTGGCACATAAACAGAAGGGGCAGTAGCCGGCTGGGGAATGTTCAGCCAGCTCTCATCTTACACGTCTACAAGCACCATGCTCTCTGACAGTGACAGGAAGAGTCTGTTCCTTGACCCATTTTGTATATGTTGTTATTTCAAGGGAGCATAATTGGACCGATTCAACCAGTTTCCAATATTTAGTACCGATAAATAGGATTCAGCTATTGCATGGTGCCAGTCTCCCTATTCTCATCCTCATGGCACGAACATTCTGGAATAACCCACCTCCCCTTAGAATTCTCTCCTCCAATTCCAGGACAGAGGAAACATTGGTCTCTAAACTTAAACTATTCATTCCACACTGCTGATATCTTACTAGGTCTAAGAAGAAGCAAAGCTTGTCATACAGCCTGGACTGGGGCAGAGCCAGCAAATACTGCCAGTTTTGAGAGCAACAACAAATACTTTGATCATATTTCACAACCCACACACTAATAGTGGGAGACTTCAAAACCACTTCTTACAAAGTTACTGAAAATAAGTGATCAGTTTTCTGAATCAAATGGACTAGATGACATCTCTAGAAAGTTCTATCCAACACCAAAAGGTCTTCACAGCATCTCATCACATAGAATCATCTCTAAGACTGCCTAATTATTTGGTAACAAAGAAAGGTGTTTTTTAACCAGGCTTTGGTGGTGCATGCCTTAAATCCTAGCACTTGGGAGGTTGAGGCAGGCAGATCTCTGTGAGTTTGAGGCCAGCATGGTCTCCAGAGCGAATACCAGGATAGTCTCCAAATCTACACAGAGAAACCCTGTCTTGAAAAACCAAAAAACAAAAGAAAGGTTTTTTTTTTAGCCATGTTGGCTGGTATAAGATGGTACCTCAGAGTTGTTTTGAGTTGAATTTCTCTGAAGACTAAGGATTTTGATCACTTTCATAACTGTCTTTCCGCCATTTTAGATTCTTTTGTTTAGAATTCTCTTTTTAGTTCTGCACCCCATTTTTAAATTTCATTCATTGGTGTTTTGGAGACTAGCTTCTTCACTTCACTGTACATCTTGGATATCAGCCCTCTGTCAGCAGTGGGGTTGGTGGTGATCATTTACCATTCTGTGGGCTGTCATTTTCACATATTGGCTGGGTCTTTTCTGTCTCCTGTACCAGTTTGTTCAAGGGTATCTTCTGCTTTCTCTTCTAGACTGTCCAGTGTGGCTGGATTTATGTTGAGGACTTTTATTCATTTAGACTTAGATTTTGTGCATGGTTAAAACAATATGTTAAAGTATTAGAGGTCCATATGCTAACCATTATTCTTCCTATGATCAGAGAGTATCTGAAAAGCATAGGCTCTGTAATACAGAAAACTATGAAAACCAGACTTCTAAGTTTTGACCTCAAAAATCTTGTGTGGATTTTATGCTTGTTTGAGGGAAATTCCATCAAAGTATAAATGATTCAATTATTTTATGTTATATGTTTGTTAGCTAGATAAGCCTCAACATTAATGAAAACTTATGAAAAGAAACTCTATTTCATGGGTTTAATCACTATTTCATTACCCCATGGATATCTCTACTGCTAAAGTTCTCGGTAGGAAAATACACCACGCTATGCTTCCTAATTCTATGTTTCCAATAGAAAAACTAGCTTCCTATATGCAAATGAAGATGCAAAGTTCACACCGGTTTCTACTCAAAAGGAGAGTAAGATTAATTCTAAGTAATATATTTGACATGAAGTGGTTCTTGAACAAAATCTTCAGGTTTGTAAAAGAATATTTCCCAATTGAAATATTAAGGAAAGAATGGAAGAGAGAGGCAATGAAGGAATGAGTAACTAAAGACAAGATAAAAGGAACATAGAAAAGAAGTAATAATGAACATAGGGAGGGAATAGTAATAAGAGCTAACGGATACAAAGTGGTTAGGAAAAGGCAGGTAGGAAGGAAGAAGCAAATAAGGATAAAATAAATGAAACTAGAACCCAAAACTGAGAAGGCGCTGCTTTGTGTGTAGCAAGAGTCCTGGAATGAAGTGTGTGTCAGGAGTCTGAACTGTCTTCAGACACTAAGTTAAAACATGAAGGACTCACAATGGTTTCAAGGTGGGCTGACACAGTGAATACAGACTTTTATACACCTTCAGATATAGTAAGAAGGACATATATATTTTAGAGAAAAGCATCTTCTGCAAGAATCTTAATCCAGGAAGTAAAAAAGCTTAAAGTCTTACAGAATAGATGCAACAATGGAAAACTCAACTCTTGATGGCTATTGCTAGGGCTCGATTTATTAGTCCAAGTTTCCTTCCTAAGAAAGAGGATATTTCTTAGTGTCCTCCATGTTGCTTAACTTCTTTAGTGGTATGGATTATAGGCTGGTGACCCTTTGCTCTATGTGTAAAATCAGTATATGAGTGAGTGCATATCTAGCAGCCGATGGAAGTAGAAGCAGACACTCACAGCTAAACAGGGAACTGAACTGCTATAAGGTTGCAGAGAAGGAGGAGTGATGAGCAAAGCAGTCAAGACCAGGGTGATGAAACCTGTAGAAACATCTGAACTGAACAAGGGGAAGCTCTTGGGCCCCAGACAGATGACTGGGAATCCAGCATGGAAGTGATCCACACCCAAGCATTGTGGGCATCAGTTAGGAGGTCTCAGAAATCTAGGGGGACTCTTGTAGTAGATAAGAATTTATCCCTAGCATAGGAATAGAATTTGGGAGCCCATTTTACATGAAGGAATACTCCTAAGATTAGAAACACAGGTGAGAGCCTAGGGCCTACCCCCAAAGGGTATGGCAGACTCTGAAGGGCCCCAGGGAAGACTTCACTCTCCCTGTGTAGAAGAAATGGTATGTGATAGGTAGGGTGTTAGTGGCATGCAAGGGAGGAGGAGAGGGAGAGGGAACTGGAATTGACATGTGAAACAATATTATTGACCTGAGTAACCATTTTTCCTAGTCACTCAAAATCTGTGATTTGATGGACAAGGATAGCAAAGGAGCTATGCCAACAGTGATGAGGTGCTGATTTCAGAAATGGTAATTGTAATGTTGGACTTACATAGATAATGAAACATATCCCTGATTTCTCACTTTGTCATCCTGCTAGTGGTCACAGTCTCCCCTTGAGTCGATAAATTTGCTGTAAGGTACAAATCAGATTCTAACAGTGTACTGAACAACATGCTTACCCATAACACAGTGACAAATTTGAGGTTCATTCCATTGTCTTGAGGATATTCGTCATTTTCAAAATACATGGAGGCTCAAAGACAAGTGGCTGCTAACATAAATAGGCTGCTCATGTGTCTAAAGTTTATGTTTTTCACAAACTTAAAGGATTCTTATAAAATCAAGGGGGCCTAATCGAACTGATTCAAACAATTCCCAAGATTTACTACAGATAAATAGGATTCAGCTATTCCATGGTCCAATCTCCCTATTCGGGTCTTCATGGAATGAACACTCTGGAACAATCCATCTCCCCTTACCATCCTCCCCTCTAATTCCAGGACAGAAGAAACATTGGTTTCTAAACTTAACCTATTCATTCTAAACTTCTGACTACTTGCCAGTTCTAAGAAGATTCAGATAGTGTCACAAGCCCGGATTGGGGCAGAGCTAGCAAATACTTCAGGATATTGGAGCATAAAATATGGTTTCCACATAAATATGTATAACACTAATGATGCTAAACATCTCCCCCACATAAACAGGAAGAAGAAAAATCTTGTTTGGATTTTATGCATGTTTGAGGAAAATTCCATCAAAGTATAAATGATTCAATTATTTTATGTTATATGTTTGTTAGCTAGATAAGCCTCAACATTAATGAAAACTTATGAAAAGAAACTCTATTTCATGGGTTTAATCACTATTTCATTACCCCATGGATATCTCTACTGCTAAAGTTCTCGGTAGGAAAATACACCACGCTATGCTTCCTAATTCTATGTTTCCAATAGAAAAACTA